TTATTTATTTATTTGAGAGAGAGAGAATGAGAGAGAGCACATGAGAGAGGGGAGGGTCAGAGGGAGAAGCAGACTCCCTGCCGAGCAGGGAGCCCGACGCGGGGCTCGATCCCAGGACCCTGGGATCATGACCTGAGCCGAAGGCAGGCTGAGCAGGGAGCCCGATGCGGGGCTGGATCCCAAGATCCTGGGATCACGACCTGAGCCGAAGGCAGACGCTTAACGACCGAGCCACCCAGGCGCCGCTATCCTGATTTTTCTAATTGCAAGGATCTGTTTAGTCCTTGGACTGGTGTCCAGGTACCAGGAACAAGGTAAGTAAGCCCAGCCACATGTGCAGGCAGTAGTAAAGCTGTGTGTCTCGCTGGTGGTACTCAGACCCAGGTCCACAGGAGGCCCACAGTGTAATTACAGGTAAGAAGAGGAAGACACCTGAGCAGGTGGCCTGTAACACATCAGTCTATCTTGGTCTCAGCCTCCTCATCTGCCCATGGGGCAAGACTGCCTACCCAGCACTACTATTGTCCTGGCTCCCGAGAGGAGATAAGGGAAAGTGTTTAAAAAGTGTGGGAGGGCACAGGTAAGTCTAACACAGTGCTGGCAACACACTAATTCTTAAGTGTGTGGGGCATTCACAGCTCTTTGTTTTATTTTTAAGCTTCACAGTAACTTATGTTGCATGTATGTGTTTGCATGCTTCAAATGTTATGTAACAACCTTTAGAACTGCTATAGAAATTTAGAGTATTATTAAAATATTTTTCATTTACGGCACACATTAAGATTCCAAGGAAGTTTACTGAATTAACATATAGCTACATGTAACTGATAATTCTTATAAAATCAAGATGTAATTTTGTTACAATTTGACACAGAAAATTATTTAATTTGTAATAAATTTATACGTGATTGCTTAAAAGAATCTGAATAGTTGTTGTTTTACAATATTATTTTTTTAAATTTCTTTTTAAGTAGACTCTACGCACCCAATGTGGGGCTTGAACTCATGACCCCAAGATCAAGAGTCAGAGTGGCATGCTCTACCGACTGAGCCAGCCAGGTGCCCCTATTATAATAATAATAACAATATTATTATTATTATACTTTTCAATGCCAGTGCTGTTATTTTTAACTTTAAAAAATTATGATTTCCAAACTTTGAGATGAACTCTGGCATTTCCCAAGGATGAAAACTCCATTTTAAAAGGTTTTTCTGAAGATACTTTCAATTAAGTATTATACAGATACTATTTACATTTTTAGTTCTTCCTGAAGGTCCTACTAGAAAAGACTGTTCTAACTGGATGATGTAAAAAACAACTCCACAAAGTAAAAAATAAATTCTGTGAGCACTTCAGGAAAGGAACATCTTGGCTTCCATTACTACACTGTTTTTACAGAAATTTTAGTTATTTGTAGAGAAGCTTCGAAAAACAACATAAGCACACGTTTATTTATCCTAAAGAATTTATAAAGGATAAATGATAGCATAGTATGATCACCTTTTATTTTTTTGGAATAGAGTACTAACAGTAATTTGCTAATTTTTTCTTCCTTAGAGAATCCATTTCTTTTGAGTGACCTAGGTTACATCCATCTTGTCTACAAAAATAAGAGAATTATTATTTTAATAATTATTATTTGACCATTTGCGATTTAAAAATATATCTGTATCTAGTAAATAAGCTAATTAAATTAATTGTGACCCTCCTCCTCACTGATCATGGCTATCACACACAAACAGCCTCTCATTTGGGAAAGGGGAATATATATATATATATAATTATTATTTTTTTAAGTATTATTGGTTTAGCCAAAGGTTCTCAAAATGTGATCCTAAAATGGCAGAGTCAACATCCCTGGGAACTTGTTAGAAAGGCAAATTCTGGAGTCCCACCCTAGACCTTTTTCTTTTGCACAAGAAACATGAGAAGGGGACCCTGCCAGAGGATTCTGATGCAGGCCAGAGTTTGAGAACCACTGGCTTAGGCAATAGAATATGTTTACTTCCTCCTTTCAAAGTAAGAATTTCTCTCCGCTCTTTAAAAGCTAGTATGCAAAGGCCCTAAAGGCAGAGCCCCGTTCATGAAGCACTTGTGCTGGGCAGCCACCAGCCTCCTGCCCGCAGTGATGGTACCAACCTCAGTGGCCGTGGTCTCCCCGTCCGCCGCCGTGTCCGTGCGCTCACTGTCGGTCTATTGATCACAGAAGTGACCAGGGTCCGGGAGGAAGGCGGGAATAGAAAACAAACCCGTTCGGTCAAATAGGGCATGGCACAGGTCCAACAGCTCGCTCTCCTTCTCTGTGATCTGATTCATACTACCTTCCCACAAGAATGCAGGTTCAAGCAAAAGCCAAAGAAAGGCCAGAGCCAGGCTTCATCAGCAGAGCCACTCGGAGGAAGACCAGAGGCGCACAGCCTGCGGGAACCGCAGGGACTGCATTAGCCAAGCTGACCTGTCTGGTTTCATGTCTCAGGAAAATCAAATTGTCCTTCTCCCCCACACCCCGTTTAACTAAAACCCCAAGAAAGATCTCTTAAGAATGTTCAATGCAAATAAAATTGATGTTTGTATATGTTTGTTATTCTACTGATATGTCACATTTGAAAGGTAAATTAAAATGTAAATTTAAATAAAAAGCTACTCTGTCACTGGACTTTCAGCCCCTCATTTATATCACGTTGATAATTTACACCCATTTATGACCATCAGGCTGTCTGCATTACCTATTACTTATAAAAAGCACATGCCAGTGACTCACAGGCATATGTTTTATATGTGAAAAATGTAACTCAGTTTTCAAGTAGCAGTGTTACCTAGATTTTTTATAGACTAACTGCTATTTTTCCCCACCCTCCAAGATAAAGAAGTATATCAAAGTAGGTATTTAAACATCTCTTTCCAAAACAACCATTCAAATGAAGCAAATTATAATAATAATAAAAAAATGAAGAGAGAAAGAGAGACATCTACTTGTAAACAAATAAAACAAAGCACAGCATTTGACAGAGCCTAAGTTTTTAAGGGAGAAATTATAAATTTCAGGACTGGGTTTTAAGAGGTTTCATAAAGGTTTATGGTTTAAAACAGAAACTATTTTCTTTGGAGTACAACAGAACCACAGCTATTGAAGATGGGACATTTAAATGCCGTAATATATTATTAACTGAATTTCCCTCCACAAATGTCAACTAATCACTAATAAAATTCCCTTGAGCAAAGATACGCGATTAATATTTTGAAAACAAAAATAAAAACTGGGAGCTGTAAGCCTGTGAACCTGCTTCTCCAAATTATCTTTGAATCCTAACAACAAGGAATTTCAAGAAGGATGACTGGGACAGGGATGTGCATATCAACCTTACTCCGGCTAGGTGGATTTCTTGGCACCATCCCAAATTTCCATTTTATATATGCCTAAAAGAAAATACATTAAAATTCATGTTTGGCATGTGTGCCTGAGGTGGCCAGCTACCATGCCTAAGTAGAACATAATTTTCAGTAGTTTGGTAAAGAATGTGCGCTGACACATTTTCATGACCTGACCACCTTCGCAACACCCGGCGGGGGAGGGGTGGCTATTAATTTTCTGATGAGGGTGATCATTGCTATGGTGTTAGCATGGCTTCCCCAACTGACAGCCTAGGGAATGGCCAATTTGACATAGGGGGAGAGAGACAGGTTATTGTTCAAGTGTATAATAACCCAAAGAAACCTTAGGCTTTCAAGAATAAATAGGAATGACTGGTGGTGCTTGGTGTGCTAACTCATTTTGTGAAACACTTCCAAGGTGCTTGAAAGTATTTCTTTTCTTACATAATCTCCCTTACGGCTTTAAATCTACTAAAGCATCTTGGCTTTAGATTACAGTCCTGGTTAAGAGTGAGGGCTCTGATGTCAGACTGACATGAGCTCAAATCCTTGCTACTGAAATCTGTGAGACACTGGACATGTTTCATGTTTTAATCCCCATTTCCTTCCAGCAAAATGGAGAAAAAATAACAGCCCTGACTGTATCAGGTAATGGACACTAAGTGCTTTCTATAACGCCTGACACATGCAGACCTAAAAGTGCATGTAATAACTGTCATATGTTGATGTTAATATATTAGTATCACATTATAATATCACAAAATTACTACTACCATTTTTTCTAGCTATATGAAAAAATAGCTTAGGCCTTAAATTCTTACTGGGCATGTAGTCAGTTATTCGACAAATATAGTGCATGATCAATAAATAATGAATGAAGAAAGGCTGAACAAAGTAGCTTTTATAGCACAAGCAGCTTTTATATATTATTTATATAATATACTACGACTAATCAAAACTACAAAATGTATAACAGGTCACAAACTATCGTATTATTCTACGTCTACACAACTTAAAATTTTAAAAATTGGTTGATCGATTAATTCTTTCCTCCAAATTTGAATCTTTTTTGTATTATGAAAAAATTCCTCACAAATTGACACATAAATACATTCTACGGTATGGTGAACTAAGTTCAGCTTACGTTTCTTGACAGATGATTTAATATTCTGTGCCCCTTCTTATGTGACCATTCTTGAAGGTACAAAAGAAAAAAACATGATTGGTCAACAGCTTTATAGTTTGAAATGATTCTGCCTTTCCACCCTGGGTTTCACTCTTGAGAAAGGCAGGATCTAATTAAATCACTTCAACACGTAAGAAATGTAAGCATCGATGACAAAATATTTGAAAAGAATTACATTCATAGTGATTTTGCAAAATGAACGTAACAGAGCTGAACCTTATGTTACACAAAGTCACCCTGTTTAGCTGCCAAAGTGCTTGAAGCCTCGAGAATAAAACAGGCCATGTCAACAAATGGCTTTTTTTTTTTTTTTTTTTTTTAATGAAATGACCTACAATAGGAGTCCTCCAGCTCAGCCTGAACTAGAGAGCATAGCTCTTAACACTTGGGGTTAAGAGACGACATTGAACAGATGGCCATACGCGAAGTCTCGTGTTAGGAGAGCTGTCATGGGCGACCGGGGCTGGACAGGAGGGCGAAGACCGCAGTGGCCAGAGCTGGCTCATGGTCTCAGAGGTTTGCAATAACAGGGAGACTTATTGGCTGGGAAGCTCCAGTCACGTGGTCACCGGCTTGCATTGGGTAACTGCTGTGATTTGTTTTGCTGATGTAATGCAGACATGCCCAAATTTAACATTAATTTTCATGCACTGATTACAACAAGATGTATACCCTGGATTAGGCACAAGATCTGTGTGGTTTGCTACAGAAAAGTTCAGTTACTTAGAATTCAGAAAAGCAGAAAATGGCAATCTTTTTGCTTTATGTTAGCTGGATGACTAACTCCATTGCTAAAGGAAAAATAGATGTCCAGGTTGGAAACCAGCTAATGTTACGGGTCTTTGTAGATAATCTTGTGGTCTTCATGTGGTACGTTCTAGTCCTACGTTATCTGATCATATTGCCACTGTGAGAAATGGTGATATTAAAGCCTAGGATTCATTCTCTTAAAATATTTTCCATGTATGGAAATAGTTTTATATTAGATAAATAAACTCATATGGACTTTGGAGCTAAGTCATACGGCCCAAGAACCTTGCAAAGGGCTCTTATGCAATATCAAACTGAAAAGGGCAAATTTTTATTTAAAACATCTGAGGCCATTCCCATTTTTTTTCCTTCTGCTGCTAAGAAATGGTCATAATATCACTAAATATAGATAAACACAATTCTATATACCCACAGGTGCAGCTCAAATTATGATTTCCGACTGAGCTGAAAACTGAATAGACTTTTCCCTTTTTTTTTTTTTTTTCAGTGTTGCTTTGACTTTGTGACCTTTTTTTTTTTTTTTAAATGCTGGGAGTACTGGGCTTGTCTCCTGCCACAAAAAGCCTTGTTTTGTGAGAACAGAAGAGCTGGAGGGGCCTGGGGAGGGTGTGGGCAGAAGGGTGGGTGACGGTCAGGCCCTCTGTTGGCAGCTTCTGTTCTTTTTCCCCTGCGGTCTGTTTGAAGGGAACTGCTGGGCTGTTCACACATCTGGAGAGTGGTGTGAAAGGAGAGCAGTGAAGAGGAAAAGCTACTGGGCTACCATGTCAACTCACCCACTGGCTCAGATGAGGGACAGGAGATGGACAGGTGGCATGTCTTCTCAGACAGAGGCTGAAGGCCCCAATCCTCTCCCCACTGAGCACATGCCTGGCTGAGAGCCGCAGGGGCCTACCCAGCTCCCCTGACCTTTCCAGACTGTCCACACGTGCGTGGATTTTTTGGCTCATGCTGGAGTTGAAAGGATCACTGCCATCCAATATATGCGTTGGCACTATGAGGACTGATGAACTTTCAGCCCCTTTTTACAGCATGAAGACATCTTCAAGGAGTCTTTTCCCAACAGTGTTTGAAAATTGCAGTTATTTTTGGTCCTCTCTGAGGCCCTTCCAACGACTGAGGTCACATGGGCCTTTTCACCTACTCAAGCGTTTTTTCTGACCCAACACAGCCTTAGGATCTGGCTCGCCTCTGTGAGTAGCAAAGGCAGTTTGGGGATATTTCGGAATCTCCAGGGAGGAGAGGCATCAATATAGTTGGGGGAAAGCTACCCAGCTGATGATGACCCACCTCCTCCAGCTGTTCATTCCCACCTTGCTGTGAGGGTTGTTTATCCACTGGTATCACCGCTGTGTACGTACCATGATGCCAGAAGGTGTTTGGGGAACACTCCATCAATCCGACTCAAACTTATTTCTCGGTCTTATAGGTCCCTTCCTTTATGAACCAGTAACTGACCAGAACCTTTAACCTAGCCCTGATTTTTAACACAGCTAATGGGTTCTTTAAAATGGACTTCTGAGTCCTTCGTCATGGTAGAGTTCAGCGGGCGGCCGAACGCTTCTGAGCTGGGCGCAGCCTGCTCCATCCACATGGTGTTGTGCCTAACCCGGGGGCCGCGGGGGGGACTCCCCGACACACAGAAACCTCTCACATGTCGGCACAGACAATAAATGAGGCTCTGAAAGTAGGACCACTATGGCAGTAGGCGCCTAACACTGTTTCGGACCGAAGCCCCGACCACGACAGGGAAGTGTGCTCTATGCCGAGGTACACACCTCTTCCTCTGAACTGTCACTCGGGTCATTGTCTAGTGAGGCACTCAAGGAGGCCGCCTTGGGCTCCAGGTAGCAGAGGCACATAGCCAGAGGGAAGGAGAGAGTGAGGGCATATGGCACTGAGAAGGAGGCGGAGAGCAGAAAGAAAAAGATGAAGAGGAAACAGGGCACAAGGGAGGGTGAGCGAATCGGGAGGTAATGCTGCAGGCTCTGGGGGAGGAGGTTGGTTTCCGACAGGCTGGGGAAAGAGAGGTACCCATCGTCATCGAGAAGAGAAGGGAATGACTCCGGGAGCTGCAAGGAGAAGGAAAACAGGGTGGTCCCTTTGCCAGTTTGCTGTTTGTAGCTAAAAGCCACATCCTGGTCCCCTAAGGATGGCTTTGCTTTGTGGTCAGAGTCCACGGCGGGCTCTCCGCGTGCACGCATGGTGCCTCTGGCTGGCTCCAAGCCTGGGGCTTGGTGCTCATTCTCCTTACACCTCCTACGGAGCTCTGGGGGGGATGCGGGGGGACGATGGGCTGATGGGGGGGACAGGGGACATGAGTCAGTGCCAAGCCCAGGTGACTGATGTGGAAGAGACAGAGAGAGACAGAAAGCAGCAAACAGAGGTGCAAAAGGACAAAAAGAAAACTGCAATTAGTTAATTTTCTTATGGGTATCAATACAAAATTGTAAAACAAGAATTTTAGCACTAGGGTTGTTCATACTTCAAGTATTAAAGCTGCATGCCAACGCTACCATGAGCGGCTACCAGGTTCCCATTAGGAAATACAGGGCGGGCTTTTTTATAAAGTCAGAACAGAAGATATCACCGGGCAATCTCAAAGTCTACATGTTTCACACCATCCAGAAAGTTTGTTTAGACCAATAACTCTAGAAAGTTGTAGGGTTTTGAGAGCAAATAGGACTCTCTGAGAACTTAAAATCAAGACTTTCAATAACGTCTCCTGATCTCCAGCTAACAGATCTGTTACTATAGTTTGGTTGGATTAAAAAAATAAAAATGAATCCAAATTTTGATTATTAAAAAAAATTTTAGCATTATCTTTCCACGCTTAGTCAATTATATCCAAAACAGGTGGGTTTCCAAATCAAGAAGTTTCTGGCCCCACTCCCATCTGATAAGCAGTGCCACTCAGGGAAGTCAACAATTAGCATTTTAGGAACTCACCCTCCCCAAAGAATTGAGGTTCCTTCGAAAACGTCTACTTTGGCTCCTTTCTCCATGATGTAAACGTAACTTAAACTCAAATAAGGGTTTCAACAAGCTAACTAGCAAAAAGAATGTGCCTTCTTGTGATATGGCTCACAAGTATTTAGTTTGTATTATTTGTGGTCCATAAATAATAGAAAGGGACAATTTCCCAGCCTTCTGGTTTTTCTGAGCAAGTAATCGCCATATTTAACTCCCCTGGTTTGAATCCTTCACAGAATGATAAAGGCAGGCCTCGCCACAAAAGTGGTCCCTGTGAGTTCAGGCTTCTGGAGGGAAAGAGAGGCTCCTTCCATTCTCTGGGGCCCTGGCAGCCTCTCTGACCCCAGCCAGTTTGCTCTGCAGGGGGTGGAGGGATGCTGAGCACAAGGGGAAGCAGGGCAGCCAGCAAGCTCCCAACAGGCCCTGGCACAGCTCAGGAGGGCGGTCCCAGGACTTCAATTCAAGGTCACACAGAGCCTGAAGATAAGACTTCTGCTGCTCTCTGGGACTCTCTGCGTGTGTGAGTTCGTGTGTGTGTGTGTGTGTGTGTGTGTGTGCGCACGCATGCAAGCACGTACACGTGTGTTTTGCCTAGGGACTTGCTAGCGTGGAAACTACCCACACCCTGCTTTGAAGACCCCAATCCCGACTTGGTAAATATAAAGACAGAGGGTTAGAACACGTACAGGTAAAGCTGTATCGTGGATATTCTAGAATTTAGAAGTGTCTCTTTTTAGGTCTTAGACAAATACGTCTCTTTTCAATACTCGCGTCTGACATTAAGTGTTGTGTTTTAAACATGACCCTACACACATCTCATTCAATGGAGAATAATATAAAAGTTACAAGCTGACTTCTGCATGCAGACTATTGTCCCCTGGTGGTGGACAGCTGCTCAGTCACCTGGGGTGATCATTAGCCTGGGAACAGGCCTCTTCTCAAAGGAATCTAGGGGACCAGTCTTTTAAGACCTATTTTCAGTGATACACTTTCATTTTGGTTAAAAAATGAGTACCCTCTTTGTTACTTTTTGAAGATGGAGAAGAATAAAATGAAGGTTTAATTTTCCATGCTGCTCATTCAAGTGGTTTTTAAAAGACAGCTGTGCACTGTGGAAAACAAAGACAGCCATCGACCTGCCTGAGCACTAGGTCTGGGCCACAGCCCTTCTGAGGGCATTTGGGTCAAAGTGTTGGCTTCTCAGAGATTCGGACAATGAGAGTCATAGTTTTTTATCTTTTTATTTTCCCATGCCATAAGTGGCAAAAGTGATATGGTTTAGTGCTGTATTTTATATAAATGGTGGGCTTTTCAAATTAAATAAGGAGAGACTGCCTGGGTGTATTTTTTGAGCAAACTAAAAGTCATTTTCTTTATTGTGCCAGTTTAATCACAGTTACACATCCATGAGAATTGTCGGTTCGCATGGGTGATTTCAGGAAATCGTGGAAATCATTTGCTTTTCGGGCATACTACCTTTTCCTTATGTCCTATTTAAACGCTGCCTTGACTTCAGTGGAAAATAAAGAGTGTAAAAACGAAATTTAGAACAAAGCACGTTTTCACAGCAAAAATGATCCAAATATCCTTGTTGTCATTTCCTACCCTGTTTTCATTTGTGTTTGGTAAATAAATGATCTTATCCTAAAAAAATGGTGGGTAGGGTTTTATGTGGAATATTCTGACGTAACTACAATATGTTGTGGGTCTACCCTTCACTGTGTAACTCTTATCAAAAGGAGCATTTCTGTTTAGAGTCCCTGTATGTGAGTCCCTGCCACATAATCTATATTTAAGAAATAATATAGATAGAACACTTTTGAGTCAAATCTAGGCAAGTTTTAGCATAATCTGTGAGTTATACAACATGTTTATTCTGTTATTTCTTTTTACTCTGTACATTCCAGGAGCCACTCTGTTTTTCCATTATCATCACACATAAACTTGTCAATATAGTTTTTTTTTTTTTTTTTAACTTTTAGGGAGATGCTCTGCTACTTATAATAAAACCCTGAACCAGAGGTAGGCTGTCTATGCCTTTTCTGACTTCCATTTTTCTGAAAAGTTGCTTTCTAAGTACCAGATTACCAAAAATAAACATACTGTAAAATAAATAAATAAATACTGGGATGCGATGAAGTTTAAAAATTTAATGAATAAAACACCTTGGAGAAATGGCTGCTAAATTCACTTTCCGTCTTCCTTTGCAATGTTCTGCTTTAATATCTCTTTTCAAAACATGTCTGCTCGCTACTTTGATGATTAGATGATAATCCTAAGTCTAAGAGAGGAAGTAGTATATAAATACACAGGCTATGGTCACTCAGTTACTTGCAGTCAGAGGAATGGCAATGTGATCACTGTATATCTAGAAAAATATACAGTACTTGGGTAGGAGAATGGGGCCAGAAACAAAGAAAATAGTTTTAGTGATAGTTCTGAAATGTGAGCCCAAACAGGAAAGTGTCATGTGGCACTAAATGTATTTTTAAGATCTACAGACAGGACAGCTGTTGAAAGTCTTACATAGCACATCAGTTAAAATAAAAATTTTCAAGTTAAGAAGGAATCTTTCAGAAGAAAAATGTCAACAGAGGAAATCAGAATTTAAAAACTGATAATATGAATGTGACTAATGCTGAAATATGAACTACCCTAAGTCTTTTTTTTTTTTTTAAGTAGGCTCCGCGCCCTGAGTGGAGCCCAACGTGGGGTCCAAACTCATGACCCCGAGATCAAGACCTGAGCTGAGATCAAGTCAGCTGCTTAACTGACTGAGCCACCCAGGCGTCCCGAATTACCCTGAGCCTTAACACATTCCTGGTTTATAGCCTTGGAATTATTAGTTCTTCAAAGTCTAAGCAAGCACTAGGAGGGAGCCTGGGAGATGTACCTTTCCCTCGTGCCGTGCTGCCGCGACCGGTGTGACTTCTTCCACCCTTTTTCGCCTGTCCTCTTCCTCGTCCCGCTCCTCCTCGGCCTTTTTCTCCGGAGTCACAGTGGTGATCAAGTTGGTCTGAGAGATGCCCTTTGTTGTGGCGTACTGGCCAGTACCAACCTCTGCAGCAGACACAGAATCCTTCATGTAGATTTCATGGTTTTCATTCACTGATGCTACAAGCAAATACAATGGAAGAAAAACGTCTGAAATAGTTAAGGCAGAAGGCAGAAGAACACCACCGGTTGTCCCATTAGGGAAAAAAGTACCCCTACCCACGTCTGTCTGAAAAGGCCAGTCAGCGGTACAGGAACCTGCATCTAAGCAGTAGCAGAGACTCATCTTTCTGGAGCTTCTAGACCAGTGTTTTAAAATGATTTAAATGGCTTGAAGCCACCGGAATAGCTCTCGGGCTCCCCGGTGAGGACGAGCGTGAGGGCAGATGCGGTGGAAGGGTGGGAGACCGGGACGCTGCAAGCCTGTTACCCTCCAGAGTAACTGGCTGGACGTCAGTACCAAGCACTGGTGACAGGTCCTGCAACCAACAGCGGCACTTGCCGCAGACAACTGCTCTCACCCGCTTGACTCTCAACATATCTTTGGAAGGGCCATTCATCAAGAAGCACCGAATTGGGTTTTTCAATTACTCTTATTAATGATGGTTAAAGAGCCTATCACTCCTACAGTCTTTCTTCGGAAAGATTAGACAATCTGGATGGCAACTCTGTGCAGCTGGAGTGCAGAAATGTTTTAATTTCTACTGCACTTTAAACAGACCACCATGATATGCATAGACTTACTCATCTCTGATATTTTGGGACGATAAGACAAATGTTGCTAATGAAATTCATGCAAATGTAAAGCATGCAAACATAAAAGATATAAGACACAGCCTTTCATCCCAGCTAAAATGTCTTAGTGAAAGATGCTTAATTCAGTTACATTTTTAAAGCCTGGTACTCATTATTTTCGGTTTTAGATACATACAACTCATTTAAACTTATAAATAATGCTTTTCAAATACACAGTGGCTAATCACAGGCAAAATAGCATCAGCTTCATAGTTTAGGAAGTTTAAAGTATAAATGTATGAAAACATTCCAAAATCCTTTTATATTAGCTAAACTGTTTCACTAAAATATCTTCACTAAGATATTTTTATATTTCCTCATATTGATGAAAAAGCTCCTAGGAGATGCAAGTTCCCAATGGGCCAGCGAGGCTGTTCTGTGTAAGATGCAATCTTGCAAGAAGCGGTTGTGTTCCAGCATGCAGCCAGAGCACCCAGCTCAGCAGCACAGAAAACATACTAGAATTGCCAGGACCCCAAAGAGTGAGAGACAACACATACTAACATCACTTTTGGGCAGGGAGGAAGAGACAGTATGGTATTAGTACATTTATTTCACAATTGTCTTCCGTCTTGTCAACAATCATTATCACAAAAAGGTCATGAGGAAAACAACATTCACGACAAATGTGTTCCCTTGGATACACATCACTGAACAAAGTGGATGATGTCCAGGGAAAAAAGGTGTGACTCTACAACAGTCCCCCCAACACTGACTGATAGAATACACAGGTTACAGAGATTCTCTAAAGGAGCAAGAAGAATAAATGGAACAAAGCAGTAAGAAAAGCTTCAATGTTACAGAGAGTTATTTCAGCATTTTAATTCAACCCAAAATGGTCCTAATAAACATTTTATTCCAAAAGTTTGGCTCCAAGTTAGATATTCCAAAAAAGAAGCAACTATTGGAAGATACAGGATGGTAATTAAATTCCTAGGCCAGCTCACAAAAGCCTAGAAGAATAATTATGAATGTAATTATTATTACACCTATCAAGAATGCTGTCACACCTGTCTCATTCACTGTTTACAAATGGCTTTACTCCCATTTTAGAGATGATGACTAAAACTGAGACCTGGGGAGTCTAAATCACTCTCCATCTGCTGCACAGATGGACTTCAGTCTGGATTTACCTACCAGGTAAGTGTTTTTTCACTTCACTAGTAACATACATGATTCAGCACTAATGATACAATTTTGACTTCTATTAACTGTTTAGAAAGTATTTCATTAGAAAAATACAACTTCTAAATCAGGGGATTCAGGGAGCACATCATCCCAGCAGCCACGTTGGGGTACGGTGAAAGGGAAGAGAGAACTGGGACTATGGGGAGTGGTGGCAAAAAAGGTAAGGACGAAGGTGATCCCACATATTTGTAACTTTTTGTTATTTTTCCTTTATTTTTATTTTATGTTTTTGATTATTAAAATTGTACACACATGCTAGAAACGTCTAATTCCTTTTAAATACACAGGATAGCTCTTTTATAAAACAACTAATCTCCAGGTGCTTGGAATGAGAAAACAGAGACTTGGCCATGGCTCACTTTCTAAGTGAAGTGTTGTTATTGTTATTGTTGTTGTTGTTGTTATTACGGCTGCCATGTGCGCAACTACGGACAGCAACACGAAACTGTTGCTTAAGACAAAAACCCAGGAGAGACTCACTATTATGTCATTCCTTAGAACTGTTATTTCAGTGATTCTCTCCTTGTTGAACTTATACATTTGACTTAACCGCGGAGAACATTTACATGGCAATGCTCTCCCAGGCCATCTGGGGTAGTAATTAATATTAACCATTAATAATAACCATATTATTATTTGAATGTCATCCTTTCTAACGGCTATCATGCATTGACTGGTAACAGTCACATTTTATCCATAAACATTTTGTAGAAACAGATACATTTAACTTACAGTCCTCCTTCTGAAACAGATTGACTGAAACAAACCCAATAATCATTTCAGATCTGCCAGCAAGTGAACCAAATTACTTACAGAGTATGTGACAACTATATTCAGAATGAGAGCATCTTTCTCCAAATTCGGGGTGCCAGCTTATGAACGCTATGCTCTTCATTCCCTAAGTACCATTCTTTTATGGAATTTTATATAAATCTACCAATAACAGACATTAGACTCACAAAGGCACTTTTTTTTTTGAGGGTGGGGGTTAAAAACTTGCCACTCAGCCATAGACCAGCAAGTGCTTTTCATTTCATACTATTCAAGAAGATCTACGTTTATTGAAAGCTTGTGATGGTTTCACACTATTTCTGGGCAGCCATTCCTGATTCTTATTACTAAGGGATCTTAAGTAATGCCTACCTCCATCCAAGCTGCGAGACATGGTATAACGTTTGCTGGACGAGCGTTCGAAGTAAGGGGCAGGGCGATCTATCAACGCGCTGGCTCTTCTTGTTTGGGCTTGTGTCCTGCCACTATAACGAAACTTGGAGCCCAAGGTCAGGAATTTCTTTGGAGGTGCTTCTGGTAACAACAGTCTAGAGATATTGAGGAAAAAATACCAGAGAGACGCTTAAGTCAAGTATTAAGAATGTTAACTTTTTTAGTCAAAGGTAAAGTGCTTTGTGTGCTAAAGGTTTAACACATAACATGTTCAATGAATGTGATTTTATAGGAAAAAAAATCAATTCCCACAGTACATATCAACCGGGGAGTTGCAGAGAGGCTATAAATACCATGTGGGTTGGGACAGACTACATGAACTGAAGTTCATCTCACACAACTGAGGAGTCTATGGTCCTATAAGCCCAAAGAGCAGTTAAAGAGGTGACGTTAGTGAAGAACAACAGTGGTAAGTTGTTATTTTATAGACACAAATCTGGTAGTCTGAGTACTGTACGTATGCAAAGGAGTCAAGGATGTTGAGAAATGACTGAAATAGTAAGGAATGGACTGAATCCCTGAGGTGGACATCTTATAAAAATAATGAAAAGACACTAAAGATAATAAAGTGGACATACGGCATATAAGCACCAGACAAATTAAGGAAGATACTTCAGTCAAAAGTTTTTAGGATTTCTTATCAAGAAATCCGGTGACCATGAACTTGAAGGAAAAGAAAGGATATGCTTCCATATTCTTCTCCCAAACAGAGTTTTGCAATATAAGTGATTCCAATCATTCTAATTCTTCCTTAGGAAGAAAAAAAATCATCTTTACCTACCTGAAAAATGTATGATGTTCAACACACACTTTCCATAAACGCTTGGCAGCTCGATGGTTTGGCAGCTTAAACCCAATGGTGCTTTCAAATTGTTCAAACTAAATTAAAAAACAAACATATTGAAGAGTAAAGTCAAGTTTGCAATGATAAATAACATAAAAGCAAATAATTTATAAAATCATGTCCCCCACAAAAGTTTCCTTCACTCACAAAAACAAGTGCTATATGCAGAATTAATGCTAAACACCTTCATTCATTAAAAAACCACCCTGTATCTATTCTCCTTAAAATGCTGCAGCCATAGACAACCACACCATGGGTGTAGTAAATGTTTTACAGACAAGTATGGATTTTATGAAAATTAAATGCAAAAAAAGAGGCTATCTGGGTTCCTTCCAGAGACCAATTTGTCCTGATCTCATTTTTAAGCCTTATTTTCATGATGTCTCTGTGACATCATGATTTCAACTGGCATGTACAGGAATGAGCAAAATGCAGCATTCTCAGGGTGGTATTTTCTCCCAGGATCTGGTCCAAGAAGATGTATCTCCTAGGTATTTGATGACTTGGTATCAGATATTGCTGATTTTGTTTGTGCATTCCACTCTGTATTATCACATTAGACACTAACATCTTTTGATTTTACATGTATGATCAGAGACTAGGAGAACACAATTTCCTATCTTTCAGCATGTATAGTTCAGATGATAATCTATCAGCCATTTGCGTTCTCAAGGTAAAATATCTGACTTCCTGAGTAATATATTTTAATTATTATTATTGCAAATGTTCGGGATTTTTTTTTTTTAATTTTCTGAAGACAGTATGCATCAGGCCACCAGAGGGCAACCATTTTAAACAGTAAAAGCTTTCCAAAAGAGCATAAAACAACCAGACTACTGATACAGTCAATAGAAAAAAAAAAGTAATTTATGTAGCAAAGAACCCAGGGGAGGGGTTCTACGCATGGCATATGAGAGGTAACTATGCTTGACTTCTACTTCTTATTTGAGTGGAACTAGCGGGGTTGGCGGCGGGGAGAATGGGAAATATATCACAAGCTACTCCGACTACAACTAACTTTCCCAATTTTGTACTCACTCTGGATGTTCACATGTAGCGGTAGTCATAGCAATTGCTCTTGGCCAAGAGCCTCAGTCAAACGACAAGCCAGAGTATTACGACTGTGACTAACCCGTCCTCCATTTCTTCATCCTGCATCTAATATGTACCACACACTGTGCTAAGGCCAGGGGTTTTAAAGAACAATCAACTTGCTCTCTGCTGCAAAAAGCTGGGAATATTTCCTTGCTGCTACCCTCCTTAGACCAAAGATGACAGAGGCTTCTGCACTTTTTGAATGTTTATCTATTTCTCTATGCTTTGTACCAACGTCTTGACCTCTTCAGAGCCTTTGTGCCACCAATGATTTTTTCCTCATTCATTCTTCTCAAGCCTATGTATACGCTTGCAAAAAAAAGGGGGGGGAAGCCCAACTTTCTTTGAGCCTGCTTCTGCCTGAACCACAACCCCATCTTGCTCCTTGACAAATGTCAGGAAGGAGAAGCCATGGCTACTTGATTCCCCACCTCATCGCCACCTGGCAGGTGCTCCTACCACCTGCTTGAACTCTTCAATGTCGCAATGGGATCTGTCAAGCCCGAAGCACTTTTCTCAGGTCTTAGCCCACACACCTTCCCTGTTAACATCTGGCCCTGCTGGTTCACCACGTACCCAGAGTTTGGTCTCCTTGTCATTCATGACTGTTCTTGCCCCTTTTCTTCTTTCTCTGGTGCTTTTGTTCATCTCCCTATGTTTCTCTTCTGCCTACTCCTCCCTCAAAAAGGGATGTCACCCAGAATTTCTGTTTTAGGGTCTCTCTTCTCTAACTTGCCTTGTTCTTTGGGTAATTTATTTCATGCCCAAGGCCTTGAATACAATGGATACAGCTGATAACTCCTTCAAAACTCTATTTCTTACTATGCAAGAATCACCCCATGAAAATATATCTCAAAAGAATTTAATCTTTTTTTTTTTTTTTCCTGAAATTCTCCCTGTTTTCTCCCCTCATCTAATAATATCATGTTCATCAACTTCACTCGTGCCAACCAAAGACCTCTGATCATCCTGGACTCCCTCCTCTCTTCAGCCCCTTCCTCCATCCTGTGTCCAAGACCTACTGGCTTAGTTTCTGAAACCTCTCTCACATTTGCTCCTTCTGTTCTATTCCCATGGCCTCTGCCCTAGTTGAGGTCTTAGCACATCTCATCACTAATTGGCTGAGTTTCTTTCCAAATTATTCATCTAGTATATCACATCCTCTCTAAAACCCTCCATAGCTCACTGTTGTTTCCTGATGCATTTCTCCAAATTTCCCATCCGGGCCGTCACCACAGCATGCTTGCCCCAGAGTATTATATGTGCAAAATGTATCATGATGACATAATTCTAAGTACATGAGACTGTTTTTTGCTCAACAGAAAGTCCCTTAAGGACAGGAACAAGGTCATATTTATCTTTCTATTTCTAATGCCCACCATGGTGCCTGACAATAAGTAGATGCTCACTTGTAAACGTTTGATGAGTCGAATATATATTGGTTTTAAGTTTAATATGCAATTTTAGGGAATATAAAAAATTAGTTTCAGGTATTTACATGAAAAGCTTACAGATTATTTCAGTCTTCACAGACAAGTTTGATTTTGTATTTACATTAAACATGATTCCTTGCTTTATGATTTTTTAAAACTTTTTAAAAATTGAGGTACAACTGACATAATATTATACTAGTTTCAAGTGTATGACATAATGATTTGATGTTTATATACATTGTGAAATGATCACACTAAGTCTAACATCCATCACCACAGGTTTTTTCTTGTGATGAGAACTTTTAAGATCTACTCTCTTAGCCACTTTCAGATATAATATAGTATTATAACTATAGTCACCATGCTGTACATTACAACCCACATAACCTGATATTTAAATTACATTTTCCACCAATGGAGAGGCTGATTTTGAAGACAGAAAATAATTCTGTACTGTACCAGAAAATGTTCAGAGACACAGATGAGCTGCATGCAACCTTAGAGTTCTGACCGCCTCCATTAGATTAACCATGCTCATTAGAAACTGGATATATTTATTCATCATCTGTTACACAGGTAATAGGAGATATTTACCACCTATTATGTGTAAACCACTATGAAGGATCTAAGATCAGGATGGTTTTGCCTAGGGAACAAGGATTAGTCGACAATTTTTATTTTTTTCACCAGTCTTTCTGATTAAAAGAAAAAGACACAAATGTACTAGGCTATGAGACATTTGCATAATTTATCCTTGGTGTCTCTTGCTCTAATCTTTCTTGTACTTTGATCACATTATCTCGAAGTTATTCATGCTAGGGTGCCAGCAGATTTGGAAGATGAAAAGGGCATGAGCTCATAAAACAGGGACAGACAGGAAGAAATTTATTCTTTATTCACAAAAGGTTTAGCACCTCAGAGTTTCTTTTATACAATGATTTGAGACCTACGAAACATTATTCATGTATCTTGATGTTATGCTAAAATCTGCAAACATAAAAACTTTTCCATCTATGCAGTGGGACAAAATTAGAACCAAACCATTAAAAAGAAGAGAATATTTTACTTATTGTTGCTTATCAAACAAACCTACAATAAATTCTCTTAGGCATGGACACATGACTCTCACCATGTCCTATGATGCTCAAAACCTGGGACTAGCAATTTACATTTTTGTTTGCTACCGGGTACCTTTCTTTCCAATGTCCAAATTGAGGGGCTACTTACCTCTCCCGGCCGAATCTTAATGTAAAAGTTGTTCCGTTTGTATGAAATTTTTAGAACCTTGGGCCAGGCAAATCTGTTGATTCTCAGTCGGTCACGATATATCAACAGACCACTCGCACAAACTCCTAACATAATTTCTACTCCTTCAGAATCCTGGAAAATGGCATCGAGAAACAATGGGTCAGTATTTCACTGATTTCCACTTATGGTGAAGTGTGGCATTTAATGCACCACAGTTTTCCGTGAAGGAACCTGTAATTGACTGCCGACAGCTCTAATTTCAATAGGAAAAATACTGCAGCCTTTTTTTTTTTTAAACGTTGCCCCTAAATAATCGGCTTTTAGTGAAGATATTTATCACTATGGAGATCTGTCAGAGTAGAACTGGCTCACCCGATGTCTCATGACGTAAATACTGCACACAGAGACCGACCAGAGGATGTGTTGATGATGGTGCAAACGATAGAGGCAGGTCTCATGACTGAGCACCAGGCACGGCTCTCACCAGTTCACGCGTGTAATGTTAACTCCCTTCATCTTCACTAGGAGACTTTGAGATGGTTGCTATGACTCTTCCTAGTTTACAGATGAGGGAACTTTTAAAGCGTGGAGAGGTTAAGTGTCCACCCCAGTTGAGTATTGGCAGCCTGGTTCCAGAGGCAGGGCTTTCAACTAATACATGTACTAATAGAGGGATCCTGTCCTTTCTAATGAGTGTTTTGGAGTTTGTTCCATTAAAAAAGAGCCTCGATCTTTTCTATACACCATTAGAGTAGAATTTAAATATAAAATAGGCTTTCAAAGTATGAGCGTACTTCCCCAACATGTCCCTAACACACCACTGCCCAGTCATAATTGGGACAGCTGTGTCACATACATAAATACAGATACATTTTCTATAGGTCTCTAGTTTCCTTTTTTAAGTGGGAGCTTGCTATATTTATAACATGCTTGTTTGCTACTTGCACGTTTCATCTTTAGGTCACTTCCTAGGGATGTGTGATGAGAAGTCTCAGAGGTCATCGGATAGGTCATATAAAGCTCAGGAGACGTATCGTGGACAGCCGATGCCCCTTAAATGCTGTATCGGGGTGAAATCAGGGTAAAAGGAACGTGTGCTGGTGAGGAGGGTAAAGGACAGAAGGCAGGACTGTGTGTGAGGCTCCATCTCCACCTCCTCGTCTTGTGGGTGTTGGAATCAGGGGCCACCTAGGAGGCAAAGCTGAGGTCTTCTGTCACATTAACTGGCAGGACTGTCCCTGGCACTGAGTGACTCTGTAGCAGCAATGAGGGGAGGGGGAAGTGGAAGAATGCAAACAGGAGATTCTGACTCATCCATATTGTGGGAATTTACTTCCTGAGTCTTGTCAGTGCAAGGCATGAAATGAACATTTCCAGAATAAAAAATAAATACTTTGGTCCATCTCTGGGAAATGTAAGTCCACAAATACAATCTAACTGGATTAAACATGAAATATTTTACCATGGAAATGGATGACTCCATTAGATATGAAATTACTCTACAGAGGTGGAAATACTTGATGGCAGGATATTACAACATAATTAAATTTGAGGAGAATTCAAAGACCAGAAACTGCCCACCATTTATCAAGGGCTTTAATCTGAAAGAGCAATTGGAAGAGCTAGAGCCCGATGCTGACAAGTAGCTGGCACTATTGATCCTTTAGAATGGACCAATCTGCTCCCAGGGCTGCTCAGAGGTGACCCCCTTGCCCCACGAGCAGAGATGCAGGCATGAGGGAGGACCGTTTGAGTAAAAGCTCCTTGATTCACTTTCTATTTTATCTGATAAATACAGAGGTAAAACCTCTTTAACTATTACCTATTTTAAAATCATCCCTTAGTGTCTTTGGATAATGAGAAGACAGATCCTTCACGGGGAAGAGCAGGAAGCCTCCACTGACCCCTCGTCTTCTGCTTGCCTCCATCGCACTCTTCTCTGTGTCCCCCCATATTGTTCTGTCATTACCAGCACATCCCAAGCAAGTGGTGTGGCAATGAAAACCCACTTCCTCCTCAAGCCTGGACGCTGCTTGAGAGCAGAAGCTCTGTTATATCCTTGTAACCACATGCTCCGCACAGCGTCTACCTAGCATGCCTTAAGCCATTACGTGTTTGTTAGAAGAGAGGGCAGATGAGGAAAGAAAATGTCAGGAATATGTGGGGTTTTAAATTGAATGAACATTTCCATTTCATTAATCCACAGCAATGACAAAAAAAAAAAAACACTTTGGATATCGAATCTTCTGCCACTGCCCATAGTCCTGACGTTAACTTGACAGATCTTTTGCATTGAAAGCTGTAATGGCAGTCTTTCTTGGGGACATGTGTGTTTCCCTATCAACAGACACATTTAATGCTCCCTTTAGTGGGGAGCACGGAAGGAAGATCTGGATAGTCTCAGTCTATCATAATTAAAATAAATGAGTGTATTATTCCCTTAATTTAAAATCACTGTTCAAACTTTGCCATCCTTCATTTATTACTTGGTCCACGGGACATCCAGTAGGGATTTAGATCTACATTTCAGAATCTTATATGAAATGACTCTGACAGTGCCTACTCGGGCTGACATTAAATGACAAACAAGAAGAGACAGTCTAAGAACAAAACCAAAGCATTTAGGATAGGTTTTCCAAAACAAGGGCCCTTCATCTAATAATATGTTATTTATTCTTTATACAGAGCCACAGAGTCCAATATCACAATTCAGAATTTCTAAATAGGCCCTAAAGCTTAGGGCCTTTCATACCATCCACAGAAGAGAATCATCTCACAACCGGAAATTCGCTCTAATTTAATTCAGTAAATTTCCTTCTTGAAATGATGGACTGTGGCTGCACGAGAAAATGGGAATCCACAACGGAATATTCATTATACTTAATATTCAGATGAAATCCTGTAATAGGCTGCATTTGCGCTTCCTTAATTCTTTCTTTTTAATTGACATGATTTCAAATCATATTAGTGAATGAAAAAGCAGCGATTTATTTGAATTTAGTAGCTACAGCAATGTTAAGTGATTTTATTTGTACTGATAGGAACATTGATAAATCCTGAGTTGCACTTCCCAAATGTATGCCCTAATCTTTTATTTGTTTTTTTCCTGGGCGGTAAGTGAATCATCGTGTATAATGTAACTCAAAAATAGCTTTCAATTCACTCAAATTTTCAGGCTACCTTCATTTCCTTCTTGTCTCCTTATCTGTTGGCCACCTAGGGAAAAACTCTAAGAGAAAAACGATCTTCGTGTGTGTCCTTGTTTTCTTTTTTAAATCCTCATCCTACCTTATACAACATAAAATACAAAACACTTTCTTATCTGAGTGAAAAATAAGTGAAGAAATATAATAACTAACTGGCAAGTAAATAGAGTTACACTTGCTGTTGTAATTACATACAAATGTCAAAGAGCTTGGCATTCAACATACGGGCACATCCCTAGGATGCTCCAGCCAAGTCTCTGAGATTTTGCTTGTGTTCAGACCTTCAGGCCTTGGAAGTGCTCATCCTGAATGATGTACAAAATGATCCACAGACCGTACCCATCAAAACCTTTATTTGTTTGACAGCCACCATTTTCTTGTTCAAACTCAGCGTGGATCAGTCTGCTCCCCAAGAGCCAACCAGCGAGTGGCCCCACTTGCAGTGTCAACAGAGCCTACATATCATATATTTCCCTCCCATGGGTCCTCAGGGCTGTCAAGATGTTTGCTTGAACAGAGCCAGCTGAAACTCTCTTCATTTCTTGGCCCCAACCTAGACTGTGTCAGATACTCGCATGCCTGGAAGCCTGTAAACTGCACGTTCTTTCGGATCCCAGATCATGGAAGTGGTGACTACTCGGTCCATCAGTAGTAAAGGCACGTTCCTATACAGAAGTGATAGTCTCTTGACAGCCAAAATCAGAAGGAACTGCCCTTGAACTTCAAGCACTGATCTTTTAAAATGTTACTTAAGTACCAGAATCCATCCCTAAGAGCCTAACATATTTCATATGCTTTGGATGGAAGTTTTCAGAAAGCTTGTCTGTGCTTCTACCGTACTTTTATTCACAGCTGCTCAAATAATAGACAAACAGTCCATACACTCATTCTCTCACTGCGGAAAAATAGAGAGATTCTGGGAAAAGTGTGATCTGGAGTCAAATGTTTTATGCATCCTCACAACCTCAACCTTACTACAATCCAATTCCAACTTCTTCTTTGAAAGACTCTGTGGCCAAGATATAGCTTTAACATTTTGCCAATCACCAATCAACGAGGCAATCCTTAGCTTCGGGACTTAATTTTAGTTGAACTTCAAAATCTTATTTCAAAGCACTGATTATGTGTCAGAGAACCTAAGTTCTAGAGAGAGTTATTTAAATTTCACATGAATTTGCTGAGCGTCTGGTAAGCATCCAGAACAGAGGCATCAACAGTACTTGGCACATAAGAGATGTGTCAATTGGGTCTTGGACAACTGGCCAAGGTTGGACAGGTAGAGAGAAAGGAGGAGGACAGCCCAGACAAAGACGGGCATATTCAGGGAAGAGGCAGAGACAGGATCTGGCAGAAGCAAAGGGCATGTGTTGGCACGAAGTGGGAGATAAAACTGTGACAGGGAAGGGGGCTGAGTTAGGAGCTTGTTATGTGAAGATAAATTTTTAACTGAATCAATGGGCAATCTGAGGCTTTGCCTACCGAGGGCTTTCAGTAGCTGAGGCAGGAGCAATGGGAGTTTGAGACATGCAGAGCAAACCCTTCAGTAAAATATCAGAGAGCTAAATTTGCCTTATCATTGAGTGGGCCTTAAAGCAAACACAGATTTGAAGTAAAAATCACCAGCTTATAGTAATAACAACACTGAATTAAATAAAATTAAATAGGAAGTCTGGGGTTTAAAAAAATGCATACCTTGGCATGATGTAAATCAACCCCATACATGGACAGTTTTTTGGCATTTTCCAAGAAATGCATCTCTGCTTCTGCTGGCGTCATTCCTCTGATAAGAAAAAAAAAAAAATGTTACAATGCTGCTTTTCTTTTACCTGGCAGGGCTGCAGTATTCCCCACTTAGCCTAGCTATCTCATAAGAAAGCCCCACAGAGGCACCAGCAGATTCAGGCTCTGAAGGGGGTGGCAGAGAATAACAAGAAAAATGGCTTTTATTTTTTAAAAAGATTTTATTTATTTATTTGACGGGGCGGGGGGGAGAGAGAGAGCACAAGCAGAGGGTGCAGCAGAGGGAGAGGGAGAAGCAGGCTCCCCGCTGAGCAGGGAGCCCGATGCGGGACTCCATCCCAGGACCCTGGGATCATGACCTGAGCCGAAGGCAGATGCTTAACCGACTGAACCACCCACGTGTCCCAAGAAAAATGGTTTTTAAAGAACAACTGAATGGGGTTCCTGGGTGGCTCAGTCAGTTAAGCGTCTGACTCCGGATTTTGGCTCGGGTCATGATCTCAGGGTCAAGAGGTCGAGCCCCATGTCAGGCTCTGCATTGAGCGTGGAGTCTGCTTAAGATTCTCTTTCACTCTCCATCTACCCCTCCCACTCCTGCTCCCCTCTCCCCGTTCTTTCTCTTTCTCTAAACAACAACCAACACCACCACAACAACAAGAACACCTGAGGGAGAGCGTAACTACCCCAGAACCACACCAAGTACAGAAGCTCACTCTGCTACGGTCCTAGCCTCAATGCCACTGAAACTCGTCCTGGAAGGAGCAGGAAGCACAGGTGGCGCTCACCCATCAAGGCACCAGTAACACGTTCCCAGGGTTTCTGCCACTAACCTGTGGCTCTTGTGCAGCTCGATCACTTTATCTTCCAGTTCTTTCGTGTGGTTTGGCGCAAACCGGAACTCACTAATGTAATCATTCCCACATTCATCTGGGTCATAGTCTCCAAGTTCGGACTGGACAGTGTAGGAGCCCAGCAGGGCCAGGGTGACAAAGGAGCAGGGCAGCCTTCCGGACACGATGTCATCTCGCAACTGTAGGCAGAGGTAGTACCTTCCAAGAGCCAAAAGACAAAGCAAAAAGCCAGCATGAGGCCATGGGAAAAGCAGGCCACTTGGTACAAACTGTGCTGTAAGCAACTCCTTCCTGTCAAGTAATCTCACTAGGACAAATTTTGTAGCATCTATATTTTGCTTTAGATCTAAGGGGAAAATACTTGGCTATAAAATATAATATTTTGTGTTATACAAATGTATTTTGTATTACACAAATAAGGGCATTTTGAGGCAAGTCAATGCTCATAAGAAAACAAGGTTTATTAATAAGGCACCGAGAAGAAGAAACCTCAAGACATATTTCTTTAACATCTTTTAAAATAACTAACATTTAAACCCAAATCAATGATTCTCCCCAACATACTCCCTGAAATCTCTGGTTGGGGGAATTATAATACAAAAATGGTGCGGTTAAATGCAATTACTAAGCTTCTTCCAGCCTTAAGGAAGTGTCATTTTGATGTCTTGGTTAAACATCCTGCTGGATGAGCAAGGCAGATTTCGGGTAACTCACTAGCTACACCATCATAAGCTGCTCTCAGCTGCCTGCGTTTCTGATGCAACGGTCTGTCTCCTTATAATAACAATTTCTCCTGTTGCCAGTCCTCATTTTTTTATTTGGAGAACTTCCTAGAATCCAACTGATATGAAGACTAACTGAAGAATTACTACTTTAAAACCTGAGAACTTCATCACTACAAGTAAACAGCTTTATACTCAAGGAATAGAAGACATTTTCCATATAATGTGGCCAAGATATCATACAGATATCTCCACTGATAGCTGACTTCTCTTCTCTGCTTCTTGCTTTTCAAGATTTACAGATATAATACTAACTGCAGGAAACTCCAAGGTAAGTGTTAACATTGATGACTCTTAATAATACCTTTCACGGCCCAGCATATAAGTATAATAATAAAATATACTTGCACCTTTCATGTAAGAAATAAATTGTTAATCTGTTGAAGATGAAGACGACGATTAAAGCCTTAAGGTCCCCTCTAAATGTGATTTTAAGCTGATGATATAAGTAAACTCCATGTAATACAGATACAGAAGTTTCTACACATTCCACAGCCCTCTACAAACATCGCACAAATAGAAAGCAACCATGCACTACATGGTAGATGTGGCTCTGTAACCAATAAATTAGCCACAATTAAGAGGTTCTTCAATAGTATTAAAAAGTGTCTTTAAATAAGAAATCATAAATTTTCCTTGATTTAATACAAATATAAAAGAAATCCTTTGTAACTGTTTTTTACCCTTCTCCTAATATGTCTGGTCATAGCCAGTGACTGGAGCTTTAGCATGTGAGGCTTACACAGAAAATTCAGCGTGCACTGCACAATGGCACTCTGATTGGCTGTAAACTTACTACCAAGCAGGGCGAGAGAGTCAGTGGTTCCAAAGCAGGATGTGGAGAAGGCTAGAACAAATGGCAAACCCAGCATAGTCTCCTAAAGGCAATCTCCTCGCACACCCAAAGCTCAGTCACCGCGCTAGAATATTTTTACATTAGTTTCCTTTCTTCGTGTCTTCCTTCCCCAAAATGAACGAATCATTTTCCCCGTACAGACAGGGCAGGGAGAGTCAACTCTTAGATGAGTCCATGTTTATGTGTATCTGTGTGCATTTTATGTCTGATTTTTTAAATAGCTGTTGAGTATCAGATTGGTTATAAAAAGGCATAAGCATCCAAAGACACATTTTTACTCTGAGTTTTAGAGCAGGAGCACTAGGAATTGCCGGATCATTTAAGGCTGAATCCCATCCAATTTGACGGTGGTGGGTGGATGACAGTATCTCAATTTTGCACATCTTCCCGCCAAGGTCAGACAGACGGAAGTATCAGCTTAGCACCAAAGATTCAACTGTGAACAGATACGATTTGGCAAATCTTCTCATCAGATGTTTGCTCTTGCTCAGTTGCCTTTGGCTTGCCATTTCTGGCGTGGATGACTGAAAGGTTACCAGATGTAAGCAAGCTCTTCCCCGGAGAATAAAGAGAAGCCTGCCTTTTTCATAGCCAACTTTCATATACCTGGTGATATCTTCAGATAGCTGGGCAGGGTCTGGTGGGTAAAATTTCACATTAAATGAAAAGTGCCAAGCACCACCTGCAAAGATGAGAGAAAAAGTAGGATCAAACCTTAGAAAATCCCTTTATACTTATTACTCTGATAGTGAGAACTGCCTTAACTCCAAGTACTAACACCCAAGCAACATTTGCTCCTCAGTGGAAAATGGGAAAGTCTCAAGTTCACTTCATCTAGTCTTTAATCTTTTCCCCAAATCCTTTATTGGTGCTTCCGACTAGCCTGGAAATTGACTAAACTTCCTCCCTTTCTCAGGGACAAAGGTAAGCCTTTGGAAGTGGGGGAAAAAACCCCGCAAATGATAGGGATAATCCTCAATCAGACAAGTCTGGAATTGACTGGACCTACTGCTCTGAAATTCTGGATAGCTCACATACCAACAGTACAGACATAATCCCATTTCCTTTGTCCTTTCTGCTTTGTTATTACAGGTCAAATCCCATTATAATACATGTCAAGGAAATTTTCAAGATATTTTTATTTTATGGGAAGGTTTGTTGTAGTGAATATTTAAGTGAGCTGCTCTCTAAGCTGCTGAAAATTCTTTTTTTACTTGGCGAAACTACTGACTCAAGAGATGCCTGAATATATGACCTGTGCTTTACAAAGCTGCCCACCTCCTTATGAGCCCACGACTTGGACGGGTGCTCTTTACACGTCGCTGTTCTTTATCCCACAGCCTCTCCTTACGGCCTCCGCTCCAGCAATGGAAACCATCAGCCAGGTGGCAGCTCACAGTCACCTACTCTCCGTACTGCCCACACTTACACTTGAAGCATCATTAAGCCTTGCTAATTAAGCTCTCCATTTTATTAATACTGTCTCTATTGGTGGCTGGTTTATCATTATAAACATGGAGAAACATTTTCTTCTTTTCTACATTTCCTCTCTCTCTACCTGATCACTCCTTTAACTCATATTCACTTCGCTCTGTTCTTCTGTCCGTTTAATGCAGGGACTTATTAAAGTCTGGGTGTTCCTTCACTGGATGTTTGTTCTCCCCATGCAACAACCACAAAAGTGCCACAGCGTCGACCCTGCTTGTATTCTGAATGCACTACTGAAACATTCCTCCCAGTCCCCTTGGCTTCTATACTGGAAGTCTTTCATCTATACCACAAGCTGTAGCCACTTCCTTTCACTCTGTGATTCTGTGACCTCATAGTCCAGCCCTTATGCCTCAAATATCCCCCTAAGATGCCCAAACACCCCCTCCTCCCCCTTAAATTACTTCTGGAAACTCCATTTTCTCCACAAGTCCTTTGCAAACATTCAGAAGAAAAGGGCAGTATTCTAAGTACCAGCTTCTTTCTTCAGGCTATTCTCTTGAGTATGAGGCAAATACTTAGCTGCCTTGGTTACCTACATTTCTGTCATAAGCAGCACAGGTACATTTATTAGTTCTAGTTTATTCTCAACACTACCATTCATAATACACTTAAAATCCCACACAGCAGGATCACCATCTGAGGTGCCTTATAAAGAACTGGAATAATGCCAGGTATCACTAGTTGCTTACTATCATTTTTAAATCACTCAGAAAATATTCCTGAAACACAGCCTATAAGAATTACAAGGTATCTCTCAATCCAATATATTTCTAGTGATTATTTTTCCAAGTCTTTTTTGTTATTCAAAAAATGGTCTGATCTGGTTTTACTTTCCTATTGATTCCTACGCACTTTCTGCTAAAATGGATCAATTTACTGCTTGCCAATAGTGAGGTTCATAAATGAGAGCTGGCTTTCCCCCAAGCAACTGGAATGAAAACTAACGGATTAGTTATGGGAAATGGATTTACTGCTCTTTTATCATTTTTATCCATTTCAAAGTATGCCTTGAACCCAATGAGTAGTTTATCAATGTAATTAAACAATCTCATAATAAATTCAAGATAAACTTAGATATAATAAAAGCATAAGAATGAGGGGTGCCCAGGTGGCTCCATTCGGTTAAGTGTCTGATCTGACTCTTGGTTTTGGCTCAGGTCATGATCTCCCGGTTGTGGGATTGAGCCCCACATCTAGATCCGTGCTTAGTCCTCAATCAGCTTCAAATTCTCTCTCCCTCCCTCCTCTGCTCCTCCACTCGTTTGCATGTGCACACACTGTCTCTAAAATAAAATCTTAAAAAAAAAAAAAGTATAAGAAAGATATTTCAAAGCAAAAATTCTCATGGCAGAAAAAGAATTTCAAACTATAGTTGGCTGAAGCATCTGAGGTACTTGCTAAAAATGCCCATTTCTAGGCTCCACCCAGAGATTTTTATTCCAGAGATTTGGAATATGGCCGAGGAACTTGTGGTTTTAATAAACCCCCTTGTGGTCTGAGTACAGGTGGGCTTGGGGACCATAGTCTGAAAATCATTAATCCCAAGGAATCCATTTTCATGAGGTTATAACCCAAATAACTGCAAGGTTTTGTGGGGTATTATTTTTAAAGAGTGGGAAGTTTAAGAAACTACAATCTACATCCTAGTCAAGAAAAAAAATCTAAATAAAGCATAAGATTTGAAATTAACGAGAGGCAGATTAAAGCTCAAATATATATCCCCATAAAGAATCTGATAGAAACAAATTGGGTGGGAAGCCATGATTATGTAATGAATGCGCTTGCAAGCCTGAATCTGCCCAGATGATGGCCCTGGTGAGACACAAGATATGAATGCATTAAAATGAGATTCCTATAATGTTGATAGAGGATTTCAAATCACAAATTTATGATGGAAAACTATGAAACTGAAGAGTTCGTTCTTATAAAAAATTCTAATTTTAGTATTGCATGGCTGCCAAATCTTAAAAACTTTAAATATACTGCATTCACAGCATAAAATTACTATACACAGTATATAGATCATATACTTTATATCATGAAATTATTATATCATAAATATAGTATATTTATATCACAAAATACAGTATATTTAGAAATTTAAACATCTGGGGGGTACCTGGGTGGCTCAGTTGGTTAAGTGTCTGCCTTTGGCTCAGGTCATGATCCCAGGGTCCTGGGATCGAGTTCTGCATCGGGCTCCCTGCTCTGTGGGAAGCCTGCTTCTCCCTCTGCCTCTGCCTCTCTGTCTCTCATGAATAAATAAATAAAATCTTAAAAAAAAAATTTAAACATCTGGGTCTGCATAAAAATGACTAGAATTAATTTTTTTCATAAGAGCAAACTTTTCAGTTTCAGGATTTTCTATTTCTCATCAATTTGTAACTTAAAAGCTTTATCAGGTTGACTGACATTCTCTTGAAGACCTAGAGACCATCTATGCACCTACAGCATGAAAAGAACGGAAACATCCTTTAATCATTTATATGTGTGTGTGTATCTATACACACACATATTAACTGAAGTATAGTTGACACTCAATGTTATATTAGTTTCAGATGTACAGCATAGTGAATTGACAGCTCTAGACATTATGCTATGCTCACAAGTGTAGCTACCATCTGTCACCATACAACACTACAATACCATTGACTATATTCCTTATGTGCTATCTTTCATCCCTATGACTTATTCATTCCATAACTGGAAGTCTTGTATCTCCCACTCCCCTTCACCCATCTTTGCCCATCCCTCCCCCACCCCCAGCAGCCATAAGTTTGTTCTCTGTATTTGTGGATCTGTTTCTGCTTTTTTTGTTTGTTCAGATTCCACACATAAGTGAAATCATATGATGTTTGTCTTTATCTGCCTTATTTCACTTAACACAGTACACTCTAGGTCCATCCATGCTGTTGCAAATAGGAAGATCTCATTCTTTCTTATGGCTAAGTAATATTCCATTATATATATATATATATACCACATCTTCTTTATCCATTCATCTATTGATACTTGGGTTACTTCCATTATCTTGGTTATTGTAAATAATGCTGCAATAAACACAGGGGTGCATACATCTTTTTATTTTTTTTTTTTAAAGATTTTATTTATTTATTTGACAGAGAAAGACACAGCAAGAGAGGGAACACAAGCAGGGGGAGTGGGAGAGGGAGAAGCAGACTCCCTGCCGAGCAGGGAGCCCGATGCGGGACTCGATCCAGGGACTCCAGGATCATGACCTGAGCCAAAGGCAGTCGCTTAACCAACTGAGCCACCCAGGCGCCCATGCATACATCTTTTTAAATTAGTATTTCAGTTTTCTTTGGGTAAATATCCAGTGGTGGAATTACTAGATCATATGGTATTTCTATTATTAATTTTTTGAGGAATCTCCATACTGTTTTCCATAATGGGTGCACTGACTTACATTCCCACCAATAGTGCAAAAGGGTTCCTTTTCTCCACATCCTCACCAACACTTGTTTGTTGGTGGGGGGGGGAGGGGGAGAGGGAGATAGAGAATCTTAAGCAGGCTCCGCACCTAGGGTGGAGCACAACTTGGGACTCGATCTCACCATCCTGAGATTGTGACCTGAGCCAAAATTAAGAGTTGGACGCTTAACAGACTGAGCCACCCAGGTGCTCCTGTTGTCTTTTTGATATTAGCCTTTCTGACAGGGGTGAAGTGATATCTCATTGTGGTTTTGATCTGCATTTCCCTGTTATCATTTATATTTAGGAAAAGGAGGTGATGGTACAATAATTCCATTAGATATGATAATAGTTCTCTGCCTTGGTAGAATGTAAATTTTGTGGAAAGAGGGCATTTGGGTGCATGGGAAACAATGAGGAATATAGATAAAAATACCAAATTCAATTAAAAAAATTCCAATTGTCCTTGTTTCCTCCTTTATTTGCAGGATTGCCACTTAGTTCTCTTTATGTTGCAGTCACAAATAGTGCCTAATCTACATGATGAAAATATCCTTTAAATCTCATGTTCTGATTGTCCTCTTTCTTCTCTTAGAAAGGAAGTTAGGAGGGGCGCCTGGGTGGCTCAGTTGGTTAAGCATCCAACTCTTGGTTTCAGCTGAGGTCGTGATCTCAGAGTCGTGAGATCGGGCCCACAGAAGGTAGGAGATAGGATAAATGGGAAGTTGAGGGGGGCAAAAAAAGAATTCCATTAAAAACAGATAAGAAAACTGACATTAATATAGCTTTTCTTCCACCAATATTGTGATTTATCCCTGAATTTTTAATATATTTTCAAAGGGCTTTGCAATTATACATCACCCAAGTAAGAAACAGCATTTCATTAATTAGGTGAATACAGAGGACTTTATGTACACAATATGTTAGGATATATATTCAACACATCTGCTTTCAGTAACTCCACAGAAGGATTCTTAGAACACATTCATCATCTTACATTTTTTATTAGGACTCTTGGAACAAAAAGAAGGAGTGTTTTCACAACTGGAGCTGTCCCTGGTTTCAGTCCCAATTTATTTCTATCAAACTTGATTATCAAATTTCTCTCATAAATATGGTAAAGAGGGGCACCTGGGTGGCTCAGTTGGTTAAGCGGCTGCCTTCGGCTCGGGTTGTGATCCCCAGGTCCTGGGATTGAGCCCCACATCGGGCTCCTCACTCAGCGGGGAGCCTGCTTCTCTCTCTGCCTGCCGCTCCCCCTGCTTGTGCTTGCTCTCTCCCACCCCTCTCTGTGTGTCAAATAAATAAACAAAATCTTTAAAAAATATATGGTAAAGATGTTTTAGTTGTATACAGAATCATCAATCTGTGTAATATCTAGAAGTAGAGTGGCTTTTTTTGAGATATTATCTATTAAACCATTTCAAACTGCTCACTACTAATTACTTTTTATTAGTACTCAATATATTTTGATATCTCAGCACATTCAAAGGCAATGGAAATACCTGTTCTTTTTTAATAGGAAACTGTTGAAAACTTCCATGGCCATAACATTCTTATTAATGAATTGGTCTAAAATTTATTCTTCAACTAGAATTAGTTGTTTGAAAAATTACCAATTTTATTGACAAAAAATAAATTGCTTTAAAAAATTAGTTATTTACAATTATAAAGACTATCCATGTTTACTATGCTAAAAGAGCTACAGAAAAGGTTTAAAAATAAAAATAAAAATAATTCCTCTTTCTCAACCCCCTACACTATGGTGCCACTTCTGGAGGTATTTACTATTGACAGTTTTGTGCTCTTCCAAAATTTATTACATATACATGTATGTATGTATATATATATATATATATGTGTGTGTGTGTGTATATTTCTTTATATGTGTATATACATATATGTGCATAGCTTCTTTTAAACAAATGTCACTTGTCTCACTAATGAGAACTAAGACACATTCTACCTCATTCTATTAATAGTTGCTTAGTATTTCAAGGTATGGTTATTCCATGAGTGATTTAATCAGTTCTTTATAAATGGATATTTAAGTTGCTTCTAGTTTTCTGCTATTGCAAACAATATTATAACAAACTTTCATGCATGTACACATATACACATTTTCCCCTTTAATACATATGCTGGATGAATCTGTACAAGTAAAATTAGGGGTCAATGAATAAGCACATTTTAAATTTTAATAAATACTGACAGAGTACCCTCTTAAAGGGTTGTGCCAATTTATACTTCTACCAGCTGTGTCCATAGTTGCTAGTGTAGTATATTAATAAACTTTTAAATCTCTGTTAACCCGAATACGTGAAAAATGATGTCTTGTTTTAATTTGCATTTAATGGTTAGTAAGATTCAGCAACTTGTCTCATACTTACTAGCTACCTGTATTTCAGTTTTGTGGATTGCCCTTGCAATTGTTAGGAAACATGGGTTTCTTAACTTGCCTTTAGGGACCAAGGAAAGAGGTTGTTACCAGATAGTAAACTTCAATCTGACTTGTTATTCCTTTTCTAAACCATTCAAGAACTATTACCTTTAGCTTGACTTTTCTACTTTTGTGGCAGTTAGGCTTAATTTAACATTAATAATTAAGTTGGGAGCTTATAAATGGCTGATTGCCAACTGGAGCATCACTTGATTAAATCATATTGCACATTCTGGGTGCAAGCAGGGTAATAGGTCAAATGTCATAGTCATTTCATTCCCAAGCTGTGATGATTAAAAACGGGTATTTAAGCTAGACCAACCTGTCAAAGATAAAATCTGAGAGCTTACTCTGTCTTTTTAAAAACACTGTATTCACACTAGCCATGTGGGTATGGGCCACCAATTCAGACAATCCGGCTCTCTAAAAATCTTCACACTACCATGCAAAATAATCCAAAAGAACTTACTTCGAATCTGTTTTTTTATTTCCTTAGCAGGGTCCAGCCAATTCTGAAACGGAAATGACAGTTTGAATTTGAACCAGAGAAGAATAAAAATAACTGGATGATGATCATGCACTAAAGAGTATTTGAAAGTGCATGGTGGCAGGCCCTCCAAGCTGGGTCCTTCCCCCACAGCTGAGAGTCTAATGAGTCTAATGAGAAAATGTGTGTGTGTGTGTGCACAATTCACGCGTGACAAAATTCTTTTCTTTTACAACACCACCTTCAAAGATTCAAGCTAGTACAGCAACAGAGGAGGGGAAAAAAAATAGTGGATTCTATGTTCAATGAAGTTACTAGAATAAATTAAAGATACACGATGTCCACTGATGTCCTAGCCATTCAGGCCCACAAAGTGACTTCTGTGATTATAGATTCTTAGGCACTTGCCTAACAAATGAATACTTGCTTGAGATTTATTATTTTCCTCATCAGAAAACTCAGATGTTTGATAACAAAGTTAGACATTGTTCAGTGAATTGAGTAGGTATTAAGCATGATTCATTGCACAACATCAAAACAAATAACATCTATGAGCAAAATTTCTGTGACTTAGTTCCTAGCACAAACACAAAGGAAACAGTTTCCTCTTCTTTATTTTTCAGGTACCTGTGGGCATTAGTGAGGCAAAGCCCCAAAGAGACTGCATTACTCAGGTGTAAGAGTCTACAGAAGTATTACATTAAACATTAAGTACCTGCTGAATACATTAGACAAGGGTCTGGTCAGCAAACGACCCATGTCATATTCGATTTTGTAAGAATATGAAAGCATACTAAGATGAATTAAGAATAGGACAGCAGTCAGGGAACATGTATTCTACGTAAGTATCAATGTATTTGATTTTCATGGGCTCAAATACACTGAAATATATCATCCAAGAAAAGAACCATATAAAATGCTCTCCTAGAACCATAAATAACTCACGCATGAAAAACGGATTTACTCTTTCCAGAATATTCAAGATTAAAGGAAGTCGTCAATATCTTTCATAAGGAAGTAAGGTGATTAACAGCATTTAGGGACTCAAAGGAGTAAATACAGGAGTGGAAGCAGAGAAAATGATTTACCAATTCAGTTTTCATTCCCTTTCTTACAGTAATGAGTAGTTTGAGACATACATTTTGTATTGCTTTTAATCACTCACCTTCTGGTTTTCAGCATCTCGATACGTAAGCCCAAAATAGTCTTTTTCCAGCAAATTCAGATGTTCACATACTTTATCAAACAGCACCTGGCCTCTGGAGCGTTTCTGTGGAAAACAAAGCAGAACAAGTCAACACACATAAAGTGCTCTCAGTTGCCACAGATAAGAATGGGTAAAATTTAACATACTGCTTGCTGCAACTTCAAGGTTCAATAAAGTGGGCCGACACCTACAAAACCCTGTCCTTACAATCAACAGACAAACCCAAAACTCGCCTGTGCCACTGAGTAAGTACAGGCAACCCGAGGGTATTTTTTTAATTTTTAATTTTTAAAGATTTTATTTATTTGGGAGGGAGTGGGGCGAACACAAGCAGGGGGAGTGGCAGAGGGAGAGGGAGAAGCAGGCTCCCCGCCGAGCAAGGAGCCCGATGCGGGGCTCGATCCCAGGACCCCGGGATCATGACCTGAGCCGAAGGCAGACGCTTAACCGACTGAGCCACCCAGGCGCCCGAGTGGATGATTTCTAAACAGAAGTAGCTGAGGAAATGATGTGGGGCTTGGAAGTCTGAAACATCTTGTGAAACATAAAAATCTTGAGAGTCAAAGAATACAAAGGACCAGCAAAAGCTGTGTTTCAGAATGCCCTAACTCGGTCGCCACGCAACCAGATTCGGAGCCTGGGAAGAATCAAGCCTATTCCTTAGCTTAGGCAGACTTCCCCTGAAGACTTTCTATTCCAACCCTTACTTAGAAATTCTGTTAACTTCATGATTTTTGGTCACAAATTTCAGTTTTGTATTACAGTGTTCAACTTTCTCTTTATTTCTTTTTGAGAAATCCTTCCTATTAGACATAAAATGTTAAGTTTAAAGATTTTAGTTAACATTTATAAATATAAGATATAGATATTCATGCTACATTTTTTACCGTAACACAGTCACTTGCAGAAAGGAAAAAGACAGTCATCTGAGGAACAAAAATCTATCAGCTTAATTTACTGGAATACCCAGTATCACGTTTTCATGGAATCCTTCAAAGGTCTTTCAACCTGGCCTTGGGGACTGAGATGGATGGACTGGCAACAATTAAATTAAGCCATGTTTTGTTTGTATCGTACAAACACTTGACACCTAATACAGTAAGCATATTTGTCTTTAAGATTTAATGTAATAACAATGAGAGATGTAAAAATTGACAGACAATGTGCATGCCAAAATAATAAGTATTCAGAAACCTGTAAGTGCTGTGTATTATTATGCAACTGTAATTACATTGGAAGTTAATTGCTCAGCCCCCTGAAGCATGACTATTTAGTAAAAAAGATAAATCTATGATAGAAAAGTAAAGCCTAAACTGTAGCTAGCTAAATAATCAATGATGTGTTTGAAAAAAGTTTAATAATGCATGAAAATAAATTACATATTAGCAAAACTACATAATAACATTGTTCAATGGATATGAATAAGTGGTAGGACAATGAAATGCTGCTCACCGGTTTAAATCTTTTATTTGTAAATAACAGCTTATCACATCTGAATAATGTTTAACAGATTATAACGTTGTCATAAAAAAAATTGCTTCTTCTGGGGTGCCTGGGTGGCTCAGTCATTAAGCGTCTGCCTTCGGCTCAGATCATGATCCTAGGGTCTTGGGATCGAGCCCCACATCGGGCTCCCTGCTCGGCAGGAAGCCTGCTTCTCCCTCTCCCACTCCCCCTGCTTGTGTTCCCTCTCTCGCTGTGTCTCTCTCTGTCAAAT